TTAAAAAAAAAAAAAAAAAGACATACACATGAATCCGCAATGTGTGACCAAGGACTCATGAGGAATATATAAAGAATTCCTACAAATGAATCTTTGAAGAAGACAGGCCAAGAGCAAAATTGGCAAAAGACTTAAAGAAACATCACAAGGATTACTCAAGTGACTGATGTAGAGATGAAAAGGTGCTCAACTTCATTAGTCATTAGGGAAAAGAAAACCAAAACACGCCATGATGCCCCCACATACACATTTAGAACAGCTACCATAAGAAAAAGATAACAGCACGTGTTGGCAAAGACACAGAGCAATTAGAACTTGTCCGTAATGCCTGTGGGAGTTTACACTTTGGAAAACTGTTTGGCAGTTATCTACTGAAGCTGAATATACACAAATCCCAAGACTCAGAAATTCTACTCCTAGTTTATACTTGACAGATAGGAGTGCCTGTGCTCACCAGACGAGATGTGCTAGAATGGTGTTAGTAATTACCTGTAATGGTCCCAAACTACAAATTATTTATACGCCCATCAAAAGTAGAATTAAAATTATTTTTTGGTTTGTTCCCATAGAATACTGTGCCACAATGACAACGAGTGGTCCACAAATACACGAACAGTAGAAATGAATCTCCTAAACATAATATTGAGAGAAAAGAAACCAGATGCCAAACAATACACTCTCTATGAGACATAAACAGGTAAAATGAACCCATGCTGTGGAAGGGGGGGGTGGGGAGGGCGTGGAGGGGCCCGAAGGGAAGACAGCTAGTGCTTCTGTGGTATTTTCACTCAGGGAGGACTTTCCATGGGTGTGTTCAGTTTGTGAAAACTGATACACATACACGCAAGTACTTCTAGATGTAATGTATTTCAGTTACCTTAAGAAATTTGGAAAACCTCTCAAAGTTTTCTCACCTATGAAAATAGTAAATGTGCCTTATAAGATTTGCTGGGAGGACTGAATGAGATGGTGTATATGACTTTTTAGCCAAGTGCCCAGCACAGAGTCAGCACCCAATAAGTTGTTACTGCATCACACAGAACTAACAATTAAAACTCTCTTCCATCCTGGGGTTTCTGCATCAAAACTGCCAAAGATAATATACCCAGTCATTTCTTCCTCAAACCTTTAATTCATCGCAGGAAGGAAGCACAGGGATACTAAACAAAAAGGTATAACCTAACAACTGTTTATGAAAGGAAAATGCCCAGAAAGCACTAAGTGAAGAAGTAAATTTAACAAAGGCAGCAAAGCCAAAATAGGAGAGAACACACAATAACAGACATAATGGGGAAAGGAGCAGAGATTATAAGAAAACACAAAGAAACAGAAATTCAAGAGTAACCAAAATACGAAAGTTTCCATCATGCTCAGTACAAAAAGCTCTCAACTGTAAAACGCTCAGCCTATCCTCTGAAATCTGTTTACTGAACTTCTCCTACGAACCCAATACTATGCCAGGAACGGAAGATGCAGAAATGAATCAAAGACTGCCTGCCCTAAAAAGGCTGGGCCAACACAGGCAGGTAAATAAGTCGGCAACACGACAGCTGTTACAATATACATGTGTACCAGGGGTTGGAAGCCAACAGAGCGCTACCTCCAGGAAGGCCGGCAGCGGGGAGCCAGCCAGGAGTGACCTAACAAATGAGATCTTGATCTGGGTTCATCTTCTCCCTTCCCCGGCAGAACCCTGAAGAGCTTCTCTCCATGGGAGAAGAGGAGGCAGTGAGAAGAAGGCAGTATCAGGCAAAGACAGGTACACAAGAGCAGAACATGAGGACCAGCAGGGAGCTGGTAGAGCGATGAGCCTCCAGATTTGCACAGAGAAGTGAATGTAAGAGAAGACGAAGAAAGGGAAGATCAAAGGGACCCTAAATATAACTCTATGACCTCTGGATTATTCTAAGTTCCAACCAGGTTATAAGGCCCTAGAAGTGATAGAAGGTGTTCCAGAAATTCATGCCACCTTCTATTAATAAACAAGCAAGTGAGCAAATATTTTTCTTTTTTTAAAAAAGACAAATTGAGAGCCACTATCTGAAAATCGAGGCAGAGGCACAATGTATACACAAGACTTAACTCACTCAGCCAGTCAACCATAGAGCACCCGAGATGGTTTTGACGGTTTCAGAGTTTAACATTGTTTTTATTCTTAGGTCGTATAGCATATATACCAATGTGGGACCACTGGTTAAAATCAGAAAGTATAAAAAACATGGAACTTGAAAAATACCTAAATGAATAAAAAAAATATATTTTTATAAAGTCTCCTTAAAATAATCTTCGCATCCTTAATATACATTCATGAAAAATCCTTTTATAAAAAATTCAAGGTATTATCAGAACTTCAAAAAATCAAAGATAAAAAAGTAACAATAATGCTAATCAAATTCATGTATTCATTTATTGGCAAGTCACACCCACAATGTGCTCTGTGTGGAGATGAAGCTGCAAAAAGCAGCCTGAAAATTTCTCTTACAGTGTTTAAAAGCTATCACAAGGGGCGCCTGGGTGGCTCAGTGGGTTAAGCGGCTGCCATCAGCTCAGGTCGTGATCCCAGGTCCTAGGATCGAGTCCCACACTGGGTCCCCTGCTCAGCAGGGAGTCTGCTTCTCCCACTGCCTGCCGCTGCCCTGATTGTGCTTTTTCTCTCTGTCAAATAAATAAATAAATCTTAAAAAAAAAAAAAAGCTAACACAAAAAATTGTAAGCAACCAATTTGGTATTTTAAAATAGAAAATTAAAGAATTCCAAAACTAGTTGTGTCTGTTCTGATGCCATTAGATGTGAATAAAGGTAAATTGTTTTAAAAAATAGATCTGGGGGACGCCTGGGTGGCTCAGTTGGTTAAGCAGCTGCCTTCGGCTCAGGTCAGGATCCCAGTGTCCTGGGATCGAGTCCCACATCGGGCTCCTTGCTCAGCAGGGAACCTGCTTCTCCCTCTGCCTCTGCCTGTGCTCATGCTCTCTGACAAATAAATAAATAAAATCTTAAAAAAAAAAAATAGATCTGGAATAAAACCTCAACATGTCATTTTAAGTTTGTCCATCAATCACATTCTTTTTCTAAAATAATTAGCAGAAATTTTTTCAAAAAGATTTTAGGAAGTTACCTAAGGATTTCAAGTGAGAATAATATAGTAAGAGATGAATTTTTGATAATCATTCTGCTAGTTACAAATAGACTGGTGGGAAACAAATGGAGGTAAAGGAGAGAAGGTAGTAGAACTGCTCCCAGGAAGGGTCTGTCAGGGCCCAACTCTGGCAGGAGTGGCAGTTCCCATGCGACTGGAAAACAGCAACAGGCTGTTAGGAACAGTTTGCCCCCTATGTCAACTTGCCTCTGTTCTTCCTCCTTTCCATAGTTTCTGCTTTCCTTAGCTTCTAAACTCCAAGAGTTCCATGATTTTTCCCCAAAATGGTCTCTGTGAGGGCAGTTTTTTTTTTTTTTTAAGATTTATTTATTTGACAGAGAGAGAGACACAGCAAGAGAGGCAACACAAGCAGAAGGAGTGGGAGAGGGAGAAGCAGGCTCCCTGCTGGCCAGAGAGCTGGATGTGGGTCTCGATCCCAGCACCCTGGGATCACGACCTGAGCCAAAGCCAGAGGCTTAACAACTGAGCCACCGGGGCACCCCTGTGAGGGCAGTTTTAGGCATGAGCACACACACAAAGGCTGAAGAGGAAGTGCTATTTACAGGTTGTTTATTGTGAAGAAATACCCACATTTTATGTCTGTCTGTGTGTCTGCCTTATGCCTCTACCAGGCTGTGTGTTACCTAAGAATATCATCCATATCCTCACTGTACCAAAAATGCAAGCCAATGTACAATAAGCAAGCAGGAAATATTGAGTGAATGAATGACCCCAAACAATGAAAGAGCACAGCCATGGATGTTGCCTCTTTAGTTCAACCTCAAGAGAGAGATTCATGACCACTACCCTGCCTTCTGAAAACTTCCTACTCTGCCTTACCCTATCACACTGAGCATTTTTAAAGCTCGGTTTCGAGCTACACCAGTGCTTAACAGGGTTCACAGGAAGAATTACCTCTAATTTGGATCATGAGAGAAGGTGGCACAGAAGAGAGAACTGAGAGAAGTCACGGTCCAGGCAGAAAAACAAAGAGTCTAAACCAAAGAGCTAAGATGGAGCGTGAGGAGAGGCACCAATGGTACTGAGCGCAACGTGCGTGCGCAGGAGGAGGGACAGGAGAAGAGGCTGGGGGGTCGGTGTGGCTAGATAAGTGAAGATCTTCAATACCAAGCTATGTAAATGGAGATTTATTCCATAGGGAATAAAATCCCCTTAAGATTATTTTAAACCAGGAAGCTTCAGAGATGTACTTTCCTGTGGCCGCAGCACACAGGATGGGGGAAGACACAGTGGCTGTGCTCTGCGAGCATATTCCTTACTTACCTTCCTTTTAGAATTTAGAACTGTTCATCCTTTAGTATCTCCGCAGTCTACCAAAATGTCAATTCATTTGTGACATAAAGAATATACTTATTTTACAATAATTCACCCAAGACTGCTTGTAAGCTTTTAACTAAAAAACACATTTAGGATCTTTAAAACATTATGAAACTTTTTAGCAACTTCAAGAAAAATCTGGAAATAAATTCAGATTTGGAAAGCCATCACCGAAACTCTGATCCACTCAAAAGTTGTATCTGGGATGTTTTTTTCTCCCCAAGATCATTCCAGGCTTGGTCAAGAAGAGAGAAGCTCCAACTGTTTCATGATAGCTGTAAACAACCTTGCCAACTGACACAAACAGGACAGAACTCTAAGGGCCTCAGCTTCGCAAATCATCTGCTCTCATGACCCCTTGTGGGCATTAAAAAATACAAAGCACTTTAATTTTAGATTCACAAAGTTTTAAAAACACAGGAGACAAATCTTATGACTAATAAACAAACACACGTGTCTGACAACACATGGTAATTATATTCATTTAAAATGTCAGAAAGAGAAGAGAGACTGCTTCCAGTCTTACCTGCTAGAGTTTTTAGGTAGTCAAGTGTTGGAAGAATAGGGGGTGATCTCCTCTGGAGAAAAAAGATGACCATCATTGTAAGAGAGAAATTTGTAATCCAAGAACCAGGAATACTACTCGTTAATGAATGTGCTCGAGCCCAACACCGAATACAGAACACCAAGGCTCTCACTCTTGAGTCGAGAGCACCATAAATATAAAGGAGTTCAGAACTTTTCAAGGCAATCCTTTAAACGAAAAAAAAAAAAAAAAAATTTTCAAACCCCAAATTATGGCTCCAGAGTAGAGTAAAAACACATACCTGGAAACATACGTAAATATCTTACTGTTATCTACGCATACTCAGAACACCATGATCAGATAATCAAAAGCATTATGTATATGCAATATAAAATTTAATGTGAATGGCTGAATATCAAATACATTCATTAACATTAAAACACTCTTTTAAATGCTGACAGTCCCACTGCAGTTGTAAAACTCAGAACTTTTAATCAAAGTTCCTAAACATGACTTAAATAATAAAGGAAACACACTACATCTGTGCTCTTTAGTAACTATCAATAAAGACACTGACACATTTGTAAATGAGAGGCTCTACGCCTCACTTTCACACCTTAGTTATCTAGTCCTTTCGCAAGCAAGGAAAATATTCTACTTATTTTATCAAGAGAGTATACATGTCTTAAAATTCAGCCAAAATTATGTAAGTCTAACATTTATAAAAACCAAAACCCATGAAGATAAATGTCTTTAAAGAAATCAAATTTCAATAAATAAAATCTTTTTTATAAAATATAAAAAATAAAAAATAAAAAATATTAAAAAATCTATAAAAATAAAAAAAATTAAAAAAAAGAAATCAAATTTCAGAACCTATTTTCAGAGTCCAGCGTGCTAACCATTACACCATGGAACCCGCTCCTCAGACCCTATTTTCAGTAAGTTTCCTAGTCATAATGTTACAATGCAAAAAATTATTAATCAAAAATATTTTAAAATTAAGCTCCTACTGATCAAACATGTCTTGTAATTTCCCAAAGAACCAACAGAGGGCGCAAGACCATTAACAGTAACAACTTCAACCTATAAAGTTTCATCATGGCATTTACTTCCTAAGTTTAAAGAAAAAAGAAGAAACGGCAACTTAGAAATTCCACATGATTAAATGTGTCATATAAATAAATCTAAATTAAGCTGAAAATAAGTATCAAATAGTGCAAGGTATTTTATATAAAGAAGCAATGCAGGAGTATAAAAACCTGAAGGATAGTAAAACAAATTTTAAAAATCTATCCTGACAAGACAATAAACATAACACTACTACAAACAAAGATGTCATTTTGTTCTAGTTTACATGTTATTAAAAAAAAAGTAATAATGATAGGAAGTGCATTATGTATTTTTATTTTTACTCTCTGAACTACTTGAGAGAAACTCCAAAGCACTCAGCACTGACTTGTTAGTGAACACGAGATGAAGCGAAACAGCTCTGGAATGGATTTTCTAAATCTGTTTTTCGTAAAGAGTATTTATCTAACAGATAATATAGTGAAATCTAATGCATGCAATGAGAATACTAGAGTTATGAAATAAATTCAACTGAGAAGTTTGCCCGACTAAGAATGAAAGAAAAAGAATCAAAGTATGAAAAAATTGTGTCATTTGCACCCCATTTTTTTAAGGAAGCAGGCTGCTAGGATAATGAAATGAAAATATGCTAAAGGAAGAAACTATGCGGTCTGAAGCTGCGTAGACTGCTTTCTGACCTAAGCAAACACCATACGGGTTTAGGACCCAAACTATATCTGGAGCCAATTCAAAGGTCAAACTCAAGGTGCTACTTTATTTTCTAAAGGTGCTACTATATTTTCTAAATATACTTGGAAGACTACATATAGAACATCTGCTCTAGTGCTTTCATGTTGTTATCAGGCTACGTAAGTTAAGAACAATGAAACACAGTTCTCAGAAGATGATGTTAGTTAGGTATGATAACACTTTAAACACAATATCCTAAGGTTTTATTCATGAAAACCAAAAAGCCAATAGATATGTATGAGAAAACATTTCCAATTCTTAAATCTAAGTGTCCAAAACTTTAAAAAGTTATTATTATTAAAACATATATGAATCCAAAGCCACGGTTTCTGTACAAGAAAAACTATGTTAAAACCTCATAATATTCACATTTAAGATGATAAATTCAAGAGATCATACCTATTATTAGTAGTCAAATCACACTGAAATCCCGAGGCCTGGTGTGAGAACCTCACAAGAGGACACCGAGCATTTAAGATTTTCTGTACACCCACACAACCAGGGCCAAAGTGGTCAAGGCATTCTCCTATCACAGACAGGATCTTCTGAGTTGCAATCCTTTCTGAAGGAACATTTTTCACTTGAAATTCCATCAGAAAATTTCCGGAGGTCTGAATAATAAAAACATTTGTAAATGGGAGCTTTTTATAGGAAGGAATTTCTTAAACTTTCTAGAAGGATGCTCTAAATCATTTTTGGCACAACAGAAACCAAAAAACAAGAAACACACACTCAAAAAGTTCTTCATGAAATCAAAGCCAACAGCACTTAAAAAATCTTCAGTTGTCTTTTGTTTCTTCAGAGTATAAAGTACTAAATTAAAAAATCACTGGCTTTGTACAATTAACTGATATGCCACTATGTATCATATAACACAAAGTAACATTACATGTAGAACCACTGACTCTATAAATTCAGGGACCATCTATCTGCCTTTTCCCAGTTAGCCATTACATCATAAAAGATGTTTTAAGCCCACCGTAGTTAGAATAGGAAGTACATGTACAAATCAAATCAAACAGCAAATCAATAGAAGAAAACAAACTATAATCTGACTTTAACTATATAGAGGAATTTAATACAAATGACTCCATAAATCACTGGGTTAAAATTACTATTTAACAAATGAGTCAAGTAGCCCTTGAGAAAAATAAACTGGATCCTGACTTCAGCCCTTAACCAAAGTAAATTCAACATAAATCAGATTTACACACAAAAAGTTTTATCAGTAAAAACAAAGAATGTTTTTGCAAGACACCCAAAATGTAACAGCATATTTAAGGTCAAAATGAAGATACAGAAGAAGACACACAAAGCAAATAACAAGTGGTTATCTTAACAGACAAAAAAGAATGTAAGGAAAAAGCATACGTAAAAATAAAGGACATAATTTAATGATAAATGAACAGTAAGAAGATATAATAATCATATACCTATATACCCACATGAAGCTAACATAGCCTTTAAATAAAACAAACATCAAAAGAATTCCTAGGGAAACTTAACAAAACCAAATAATCATGAGATTTCAGAATATTTCAATGACTAGATAAACAGATTAAAAAAAATTAGTTAAGATACGGACAATCTGAATAACACAATAAATAACCTAGGCCTAACGGAAAAACTCCAGAATCCTTGGAAAAAAATAATTCATTTTATTGTGTATGTGTAGAATATTTACAAAAAAAAAGATCATATATTTTATCAATACAAAGAAAGACTTTCTAATTCCGAAGAATCAATATCAAATAGATCATATTCTTTAGCCACAATGTTTACTAAAGTTTAGAAACCAACAGTTACAATTTTACGAAGTCCAAAGATTACTTTTAAAATAGCTTTAGTGATCTAATGAAATATCATTACCTTGTTGGTGTTGAATTTTCCAATTTCACCTAGATCCAAAAACATGTCCAAATCACATCCTAATTTCCCAAAACTGTTCACGGAGGAGCCAAAGGGTCTCACTGTACAGTCCTGAAAATACGCAGCTGCGAGGTCTTCAATAAGAGAACAGGTGAGGTATCTGAGCTTAATGTCCTCCTCCGTCAGCTGCAGCCCCTTCAGGAGAGTGTTCAGCTGATCATCTATCTAGCTGGCCAGAACAAAACCAACAAAATACAGACCATGTACAGGTCATAGAAAATAACTGTCATTTGACTTCCAGAGATCTGATGGCTTTGGAGACCTACCATAACAACATATTCTTTTTTTCCATCAATTGCAGAAGTTGATTAAATTTTTAAAAAAATATTCCTTTAAAAAGAACTGAGGGGGGGGCGCCTGGGTGGCTCAGTGGGTTAAGCCTCTGCCTTCGGCTCAGGTCATGATTCCAGGTCCTGGGATCGAGCCCCGCATCGGGCTTTCTGCTTAGCAGGGAGCCTGCTTCCCCCTCTCTCTCTCTCTGCCTGCCTCTCTGCCTTCTTGTGATCGCTGTCTGTCAAATAAATAAATAAAATCTTTAAAAAAAAAAAAAAAAACTGAGGGAATGATAACTTTGGCAAAATCAAAGTTGGCTAGAGCTAAACTCACTATTACTTTACAATTAAAGTATTGTTTTAGGAAAATGAAAAGAGTAAAAAGCTCCAGAAAGAGATCAAAACAACCACAAAGCTAGACATTTTAAATGAAGTTGGGGGAAGGAAGAACCAATGTTAAAGGCAAGAAACACTAGAAATAAGCAATGCTTCAGGTAACGAAGGCCCATGATTCCTCAACTCCTCAGAATAATAACCCTATATCTTCAGCAGAAAACTGGTGTTAAAGGCATCACATTTTGAAACTGCACTGAAGTATTTAAAATAAAAACCGTAGCCTCAAATGCCCATATTTGGAAACAGTACTGAAATCAATTGAACTAAGAAGCATTCGACTCAACAAAAGTTAGTAAAAGAAAATAAAGGAAATGTATAAGGTTAGGAATAAAATTTTTATAATTAGAAAATCAAATCAAAAATAACATTTCGATAAAAATCATGAACTAATTCTTTGAAAGTACTAAACTAGCTAAACTTCTGACAAGCCTTTGTAAGAAAAACTAAAACTAATATAAACAATGTTAGGGCAGCAAAACAGATTAAATCAGAAAGGATATCTTTTCTGAGATATTTTTAAATTTCTAGAAAAATGCCAGGGACAACTGTATGTCATTATGCTGACTGGAAAAAGAAAACCTGTACAGACCAACGGCTGAAAACTCTGGAAAAATGTGGTTACTTGGGAGGAGCACAAGAAGGGTGTGGAGGCAGGGAGTGAGGAAGGATTACTTTTACTTTTCACTAAACATATTCCCTAGTCTGACTGTCTTACAATAAGAAGCTATAATATATAAACTAATGTCATACACACACACATATTTTCAGAAATTGGGGGAAACTGGGGAAGTATACTTAAAAACTTACACTTTCTGCATAACAAAGTAATTGAGAAAGCTTCTTGCTTGAAGGAGGGGTATGATCACTGTACGGTATGCAGGATTGCTCTGAAGTCTGGTTTGACGGATTCTTCATCTTTACATTGAAGAAACGTGACTTGAATGGAATTGCAGCCTCTGTGTCCATACTCGGAGTGCGAGTTACGTTCTGCAGTGAAGTGATACTTTCCTTTTGACAAAACTCCACAACAGCATAAAGACCCTATGCCAAAATCATAAGGAAAAACAGAAGACATCTCAGAAGGATAGATTTCACATAGTATTTCAGTTCAAATATCCGAATGATTATCGTAATACTAAAAAAGATTCATTACAAATGATACACTTCTAACACAACCGCTGGTTTTAATCATTTTAAGCAAACTAAGAAAAGGAACACCATGAAGGAATATTAGCCAATAGAAGCTGAAAACAATGACGAAACAGAAAATCAAAAGGCAAATCTTGAAAGAAGTTGCTGTGGCCGATGTGGAAGAGGTTACTGCCTATGTTCTCTAGGATTCTGATAGATTCTTGCCCCACGTTGAGGTCTTTCATCCTCAGTTTATCTTTGTGTATGGTATAAGAGAATTTATCTTTGTGTACGGTATAAGAGAGTTTATCTTTGTGTATGGTATAAGAGAATGGTGAGTTTCATTCTCCTATACGCAGCTGTCCAATTTTCCCAACACCATTTATTGAAGAGACTTTTTACCACTGGATACTTTTTCCTGCTTTGTTGAAGATTATTTGACCATAACGAATTGTGGGTCCGTATCTGGGCTCTCCACTCTGTTCCACTGGTCTATGTGTCTGTTTTTGTGCCAGTACCATGCTGTCTTGGTGATCACGGCTTTGTAGTGAAGCTTGAAATCAGGCAACGTGATGCCCCCAGCTTTGTTTTTCTTTTTCAACATTTCTTCGGCAACTCGGGGTCTTTTCTGATTCCATACAAATTTTAGGATTATTTGTTCTAGCTCTTTGAAAAATGCTGGTGGAATTTTTATCAGGATAGCACTGAAAGTGTAGACTGCTCAAGCCACTTTGGAAAACAGTGTGGAGATTCCTTATGAAATTAAAAAGAGCTACGGTATGACCCTGAAATTACATTAGTGGGTATTTACCCCAGAGATTCAGATGCAGTGAAAAGAAGGGCCATCTGTACCCCAATGGTCATAGCAGCAATGGTCACAATCGCCAAACTGGAAAAAGCCAAGAAGCCCTTCAACAGATAAATGGATAAAGAAGATATGGTCCATATATATAATGGGAGTATTATGCCTCCATCAGAAAGGATGAATACCCAACTTTTGTATCAACATGGACGGGACTGGAGGAGATAATGCTGAGTGAAATAAGTCAAACAGAGAAAGCCAATTATCATATGATTGCACTTACTTGTGGAGCATAAGTAGTAACATGGAGGACATTGGGAGAAGGAAAGGAAAAATGAATTGGGGTAAATCGTAGGGGGAGACAAACATGAGAGACTGTGGACTTTGAAAAACAAACTGAGGGTTTTAGAAGGGAGGGGGGTAGAGGGTTGGGTGAGCCTGGTGGTGGGTATTAAGGAGGCCACGTATTGCATGGAGCACTGGGTATGGTGCATTAAACAATGAATCTTGGAACACTGAAAAAATAAAATCAAATTTTAAAAAAAAATCAAAAGGCAAAACAAAAATCCCTCACCCCCAGCCTTTATCCCTAAGATAACAGACTACTTAAAGTATTCAAATGATGGAATCAGTCAGCTTTAAGTTACTTATAATTCTGTTATAATGCCATAAGGATGTCTATTCTCATACCAAATAAGTCATTTAAGAAATTTAAGGATATCAAAAGAGAATCTAACATTACCATATTGCAAATAACAGAGTCTTTTTCTTTCAAAGGCATGAATGGTAAATTGTTTTCAAATACTTACAAAGCTCTCATAGAAGAAATGATTACTAATAGGTCCATGTTGAGATAAGTATTTCAGAAACTTTTTTTCACTGATTTTATTCGGGCAATGTATTAAAACAGTTCGCTGTGCCTGTTCTCGTCTTTCTTTCTGCACCTCAGAGAATTTCTTTTTGGGAGTCCAGTCTTCAGAGCCTATGAATGAGACAAAAACATTTCCAGTGCATGTGTGTGCTTGCACGTTCTCTCTCTCTCTCTCTCTCTCATACACACACACACACACACACACACACAGATATAAAATTTAAAGCATATTTTGAAAAGGTATATAAAGATTTTATAGCTGACTAAAACCATTAAATCCAAAACTCATCTTCTTTCTTCTTTACCTATGTAAGAATGAAGCTCTACTACTTCCAATTTTCATTTTACCATTCTCCTGGTTTTGATTTACTGCATTCAATGCCTAGCACTGAAAAGAGAGATCCACAAAATTTTAAAAGCAAAATCAGGAACGTAAAATCACTTGTGTAACACCTTCCCAAATGCACACATACAAAATCTGTACAAAGTATAACATTCCAAAGCCTAAAGGAAATTATTACAAGCCTGAATGTAATGAGAATGAGTTTAGAACTTTAATGTATTAAAGTAAGTTATTATCGTTCTTCTTTAACCGTGGGCCTTGATCCGACTGAAACAATTAACAATGAATTACCAACTACCATGCTGTGTATCACAGGGAAATCAAAGAATTTAAAATCCAGTTGCTGCCCATAAAAGTTCATGATAATTTTACTAACAAAATACAGGGTTATTTCTTTTTTCATCAAAACCACTCCAGGGGGTACCTGGGTGGCTCTAAGCACCTGCCTTCAGCTCAGGTCATGATCTCAGGGTCCTGGGATCAGGTCCCACATTGGGCTCTCTGCTCAGCAAAGTCTGCTTCTCCCTTTCATTCTCCCTCTGTGCTTGCCCCGCCCCCACCTCTCTCTTTCTCTCTCTCTCTCTCAAATAAATAAAATCTTTGGGGGGGGGGACCACCCCAAGGGTTAGGTGTTTTACAACCAAAGGAAATTAAGACAAGAGCTGTGAAAGTCAAGATTTAGGTATTAATAATCAATGACCAAGAAGGAAAGATCGCCAACTAAGTATAAGGAAAAAGAAAATCATTCAAGTTCTAAGAGCATATGAGAACGAAACACTGAGTTTTAAAAACTAATTTTTTTCCTCCAATCTATTTAACTTCTAGTTGGGTGGCTTAAAAGTGTTTCCAGAAATCTGGAGATAGATTCTAGAGATTATAAATCACCAAGTCTGGTATCGATACTCCAAAGAAATTCCAAAGAAATTAAATAGTACAGAAAATAGAATTGTTATATGGAAATTGGCAGATGCTTTTAGACCTGTCTTCCTTCAGAAGATTATAATACTGATGGATCAAGGAATAGTACAAACACACTGCACCTTAATTTCAGCAAACTCTAAGACATCCTCACAGACCAGACAGACAAATGCGTTTAACCAGTAAGGGCTTGCTGAACCCTAACTTCTGTTCAATAGCACAGACCCAGAGGCAGTTTCTAATGGCACACCACAGAACTCCGGACCCTGACATAGTCCACATTTCCAACTGATCAAACACATATTGAGTACCTTCCCTACATTCACTGTAGCAGGTGCTGAAAACGCATCTGTTAAATAGGGGTCCACATCTCCATTCTGAATGTCCACTCTTTAACATCAATCTCTTATTTCAAGGTCTGATTCCTAAACTGGTCTCATTCACACCAGTCTTTTCCTTCTCAAGCCATTCTTTGTTGACAAAGTGATCTTTATAAGATAATCTTTAAAAAGTCTCATTGTTTGACCTCTCTGCTTCAAACCCGTCAGTAGCTTCCCTACTGCATTCAAGATCAAGTCTAACCCTGATAGCATGGGTATAGTAATTGGCATTTTGTCCTACCACTCCCTTTCAAAGTCAATTTCTACCATTTCCTCCTTCTGCACTGTTCACTTAAGCTACTCCACACACAATACTGCCACATACTGTGAACTTTTAAAATTGTCCTGTCTCTGAGTGGAATGCCCACTTTCTCATTTTCTGCTCAAAAACTCTATTCACCTTTCCATAGGTCTGTGAAGACTTTTGACTTTCCAGGTAGAATCTCCTCCACTCCGTATTACCTTACTTCAACACTTGTGAGAGAAGGTAATTCATGGTGTTGTACTTACTTAACAAGATGGAAAAAATATCTGTCCTCCATACTGAGGGGAGAAACTATTATTATTTTGATCTCAGTCTACTGACAGTTCTTCCAATTTTTCCTATTTCCTTTTTTTTTTCTTACACCGGATCTGCCTAGATCACCTCACCCACTCTTCCCTTCTGAGTCTAGACTGATGTCTAAGGGCTTACTGTAAAAGTAAAGTCAAATTGTTAAATTTTATAAAGTGAAAGTATAACTCCTTCCCTTGTTCTCTGTCCCTAGTAACACCCAGCCATTAAGTGTGGTATTTAAGCTTCCAGACATTTTTAAGGCACATATAAACATACACATTTGTGTTTCTCCACAGATAAACATTTTTTACATAATTAAAAGATTACTGAAATCATATTATACATTGTTTTATAATATACTTCTGAAGACTTAATACATCAGGGACACTTGTGTTTGTATATGTTTACCTCATTATTTAAGTAACTGTTTAAGTATTCTTGTTAATTTATCATAATTTAGCCAATCCTCTGCTGATAAATATCCAGGGGCTTTTCCTTTCTTCACTACTACTAACAATACTGCAGTATCAACTGCGCACAACGTCTTTGCACTTTTATGCAAGTATATCCCTGCAGTTGGTCACTAGGAAGAGGAGAGACTGAATTTAAGATTGATAGAGAAGTCTGATAAAAGATAAAGAAATGTGCTTGAGAAGATGGGAGAGGTAGAAACCAAAGAATTAACAGTTCTGGTCTTGAACAACAGTAGGTACGAATGATGAGGACAAGACAAAGTTGTGAAGGAAGGGACAAAAAATTCAGGTTGTTTGAGGCGCCTGGGTGGCTCAGTGGGTTAAAGCCTCTGCTTTCAGTTCAGGTCATGGTCCCAGGGTCCTGGGATGGAGCCCCGGCATCGGGCTCTCTGCTCAGGAGGGAGCCTGCTTCCCTCTCTCTCTGCCTGCCTCTCTGCCTACCTGTGATCTCTGTCTGTCAAATAAATAAAATCTTTAAAAAAAAAAAAATTCAGGTTTTTTTATTATCTCACAAAAGGCTTAGCAAATCTACAAATGACACAAAGTTTAGAGTAAAAAGTAGTGAGTGCTAATGTTTTATGACCGACTCAACTTATGGTACTGATGACCTAATCTGGTAAGCATAAACTTAAAACAAAAAATAAGGCTAAATACTGTCCTACATCTAAAATTAAAAACAACACAAAGATACAATGACATAGTGGGGAAGAAAATCAACCTAGGAGTAGTTGCATATAAAGGGCCCAAAATTTCGATTTGATCATAGCTCAGAATTAGTCAAAGAAATGTCTTAATTTTGGGGGTATGGATAGGAAGAGAATAGAGAAACATATATAAAACTCCAAACTTTATTAAAGCAAATATTTTCAAAAATCCAAATCTAAGAGATAACAGCATTTCTTTCCTATTTACTGGCCAGGCCACATATGCAATATATGTTCTCCTCTGGACATACTGGATATGAAGGATATTAAAGAACCAGATAGGGGTGCCTGGGTGGCTCAGTAGGTTTTGTCTGCCTTTGGCTCAGGTCATGATCTCAGAGTCCTGGGATCCGGTCCTGCATCAGGGACTCTCTTCTCTGCTCAGCAGGAAACCTGCTTCTTCTCCTATTCCCCCTGCTTGAGCACGCACTTGCTCTGTCAAATAAATTAGGTCTTTAAAAAAAAAAAAAAAACAAACCAGAGAACATCTGGAGAATAGTAGTAAAAGGTCTAGAAAGTGACAGAGAATTACTATAAATAAAGTGGGATTTACAGCCTGGAAAAAAACTATTGAGAACCCAAATGCTGTCTTCAAATATAACAGTGAGCCCTCCATTCGCCACAGCACTTTAGTTTTCCAAGCACTTTTACATATATACTCTATATTTTGATTCTCACAATAACCTCTGAGATAGAGCGGGTCTCATAACTGGTGAAAAAATGGCACAAAATCAAATGTCTAATAAGGTAGGTAGCCATTTACAGAATTAATCTGTTGTCTGGTTGCCAGCAATGGTCCCCCTTGTTGGAGGCACAAGACATCCCTGCTTGTAGAAAACCACTGTATTAAGGGGGGGGGGGGGGGGCAAGTCAATATAGTTATCCTCCCTGTGACACTGACCCTCACTCCATTAGATGGCCTAAGATTATGAGACTATTTTGGAAAGCTCCTCTGGGTCCAAAGCGGGGGTGGGCACGGGATGTGATCAATCAAAAGTTCTTTCTTCGGGGCGCCTGGGTGGCTCAGTGGTTTGGGCCTCTGCCTTCAGCTCAGGTCATGATCCCAGGTTCCTGGGATCGAGCCCCACATCGGGCTCTCTGCTCGCGGGGGAGCCTGCTTCCCCCTTCCTCTCTCTGCCTGCCTCTCTGCCTACTTGTGATGTCTGTGTCGAATAAATAAATAAAATATTAAAAAAAAAAAAGTTCTTTCTTCAAATTCTACAAATTCAGGTAAAAGATGATCTTATGCTTCCTTCTGGTGAATGCTACAAACAGGTAAACATGAAGCTGCGGTGGCCATGCCTCTGTGGAGAAGATTCTGAGATCAGGAGGCCACCAAACAACAGCTGAGAAAAACAACAAGACCCTACATTGGCCATATCCATCCAGCTGACCTTAATGCACCTAGCTCTCTCTGAAGTTTCGTGACATGGCTTGGTTTGTCCTCCCCCATCTACTTAAGCTAATTCAAGTTAGCTTCTGTCACCTGGACCCCAAAAAGAGATGAATAATACACTGCATATTCTCATTCTTAAAATTGAGGTTCTTCTCCACTACTTAAATAAAAGCTATGTCAATGTTAAGCTTATTTAGCTCATTACAAACATTTTCCAACCATTAGAGCCTGACCAAAAAATGGAATTGACTGATTTTGGACTAGTGTGTTCCTTGTTACTACAAATATTACTAGAAATGTTTTCCATCAAGTTCTCACACTAAATGGAAACCTCAATTGGAAATTTCTCAAGTCCCTTCCAATTATAAAATGTTATATTTCTGAGTATAAAGTGCAGTTACCTTCTTCTCTTTTTAAAAATGGAAAAGAAGGGGCGCCTGAGTGGCTCAGTGGGTTAAGCCGCTGCCTTTGGCTCAGGTCATGATCTCAGGGTCCTGGGATCGAGTCCCGCATCGGGCTCTCTGCTCAGCAGGGAGCCTGCTTCTCTCTCTCTCTCTCTCTCTCTCTGCCTGCCTCTCTGTCTACTTGCGATCTCTCTCTGTCAAATCAATAAATAAAATCTTTAAAAAAAAAAATGGAAAAGAAATCCATAGGAATGTTTTGTTAGGCACCATAAGAGTCTGTTTAGCCAGTTATGATACAAAATGAAACACATTTCCTATGAAAAACAACAAAGCTGTACAAAATGAAGAGTATAACCTGGGAATCCGGTTCTTTCCTTACCTACTTAACAGATGGGTAAGTTTGAACGAGCCATTTGGACTAGCCTGTTTCTTCATCTATAAACTGCTGTAATAACTCCTTCCACACCAGCCTGACAGAGTTTTAGTTCTCAAAGAGCATAAGAAAAAAAAAAAAAAAAAAAAAAAAAAACTCCCAAATCTAAACCACTATATAGATGTTAAATTACAATAGCTTCGGGACGCCTGGGTGGCTCAGTTGGTTGGACGACTGCCTTCGGCTCAGGTCATGACCCCGGAGTCCCCGGATCGAGTCCCGCATCGGGCTCCCAGCTCCACGGGGAGTCTGCTTCTCTCTCTGACCTTCTCCTCGCTCATGCTCTCTCTCACTGTGTCTCTCTCAAATAAATAAATAAAATATTAAAAAAAAATTACAATAGCTTCTTTGGCAGAATCCTTACTCAAATTTTCAGTAACTTGAGAATTTTTAACAGAACCACCTCCTACCAAATACAATCCATCAGTATGTCAATGAAATATCATAGTAAGTAACAATTCCTGCTCCCTGTCCATATGAATCTTCATTTTATATAGTCTGATAAGAAGAGTAAACCTACAATTTATTTTAGGGAACATTTTACTTGTTTAGCCTACTATAAAAATATTCCCAGAAATAATTTCATCTCTTAAAACTATAGCAGAAATCGACAGTTTGCTTACTAACTCTACTGGAGGTCTAAAAGAACTCACCTATGTATCCCAGCACAAGTTACTTTGCTTTTTGAGCCTCTCTGTACACCTGTTAAGTGGCGAGAGTTGATACATTCTTTGCTAGATTGTTTTAAAAACTGTAAATCAGATACCGTAGCTCCAGAGTCACAAGAGGGGTTCAATCATAGTGAGCTCCTCCATACACAAAGCAGCATAAAAATTCAGAACGTCTGCGGGACAGCAGCCTGTTCCGGTGAATGCAAATCTGTTACCATGTTACCAAAATGGCCAAAAGAATAAACCAAAGGACAGTATTTTCCACAAGCAGAACACTGTATTTGGGAGCCGCGAATACTGCTATTTCATTATTGCTTTACTATCCTCGTTCTCCATCAGTAACTTGTAAAATCAGATACATTTGTAAATGAAGCAACTGACTGATGTGTGGCATCGCTGTTTTCATTGGGAACGTTGTTTTGCCAAATTATAAAATATTAGCAAGCCTATTTAAATACTTTAATTACTGCAGACAGGCGCCCTCAACCAAACATCACCCAAACCACTCCCACCATGAGCAAGGAGCGGCCCTGCGAACCCCTAATGAGTTTAGAGGAGGACGGGACACGGCCTCACCCTATTGCCAAAGGCTCCACGGACGTATACACAAGCCACGCGCTCGCCCAAGATCCCAGTCTCTTCCCCCCTTCCCCGGCCCGCTGTGGGTCGCCGAAACAGCAAACCGGGTACACGGCGCCCTCACCTGTCTCCACGTTCCTCGAGGACTGCTCTTCTCTCTTAACGTCTGTGGCCACAGTGCCTGGGCAACTGAGAAGCCTGTGGGTAGGACGCAGGACTTGACCTCTCTGAGCACAGAGGGGTAAACGTGCCAACATCCCCACGCCGCGAGCCGCCATTGCCAAAGCAATAGAAGTAGGAAAACGAAAGGGCACGGGCTCTCGCGCATGCGCGCTGAGGCGAAAGGAATGGGAAGCCTAGAGGGTCAAACTAGGCGAAAACTGCCCGACGGAATCTCCCTTTGCTTTCCGCTCTCCTACGGTTCTCCGAAAGACCCCCGCAAGAGAATAAGCCCACTCCCTGCTCTTCAAAATAGTCCTGAAAAGGGAACCAGAGAGCAAGGTCCTGAGGAAGGAGCACTGACTTGGGAATCTACACTTAAGAGTATAATAAATGACAGCACTTTTTCTTTAACAGACGGTGTTGTGGGTGCTCTGCTCATTAACTGTCAATCCTTACAACAACCCTGTGAGATAGGAACGATTATCTCCATTTATTTATGGGGAGACTAGGACATACGGAAGTTAGGTGAACATTTCTGAAGTTGCACAGCCAGTCGGGAGCAGAGATGGGAGTTAAACCTAGATTATCTGGTGCAAAGTTTTTGTTTGTTTTGTTTTTTGTTTGTATTTCTTTTTCTTTTTTTTTTTTTTTAAAGATTTGTTTATTTATTTACTTATTTGACAGAGAGCACAGGTAGGCAGAGAGGCAGGCAGAGAGAGAGAGGGAAGCAAGCTCTCCGACGAGCAGAGAGCCCAATACAGGGCTCCATCTCAAACCCTGAGATCATGACCTGAGCCCAAGGCAGAGGCTTAACCCACTGAGCCACCCAGGCGCCCCTGGTTTTGTTTTTGTTTTTGTTTTTCTTGTAACAAGTTTATTAAGATTTAGTTAACATGCTACACAGTTCACCCCTTTTGGTGTACCATTCAACGGTTGTTGGTATATTTACAAAGTTGTGCAGCAATCACCATAATTATTTTTAGAACATTTCATCACCTCCAAAAGAAACCTCCTGTCCCTTAGCTATCACTCCCCGAATCACCACACTCCCCAGCCCTACAGGACCACTTCTCTCCTTTTTGTCTCTACACTGTGGTCTATTCTAGACATTTCCTATAAATTGAATTATGCAACATGTGGTTTTTACGGCTGGCTTCGTTCACTTGGGGTAACACTTTCAAGGTTCTTCCATGTTGTGGCATCTGTTAGTACTTCACTCTTTTCTGTGACCAAAATAACCATCCATTACATGGTGTTAAAAGATAAATGGAGGCATATTAAAAATTTTAAGAGATTATTTGAGCAAAAGAATCAATTCAAATTAGGCAACATCTAATCTAGCAGATAGAAAGGACTCTCATAGCCTGAAGGGAAGACGTGAAAATAAAAACAAAAGACTTTTATAAGCCGAGGAGAGCAGGAGGAACAAGGAAGTTATACTAAGCAAAAGCCCGCTGGTTATTGCAAAGTTACTTTCCTTTAGGGGCTGTCCCAGTTCTATCCCGCAAATTAATTAACTAGTGCTGATCAGGTGATTCGTAATTGACTGGATTAAGATTCCATTTCCCAGACAGTTGAAACTAATTAAGTCTTGATTTGGTTATATGGGGTTTACACAAGTGACTCTGTTTTCTTTGGGCCTGTTGTCTTACCTTTTTTTAAAAATTTTATTTATTTATTTAACAGAGAGAGAGAGAGAGATCAATCAAAAGTAAGCAGAAAGGCAAGCAGAGGGGGAGGAGGAAGCAGGCTCCCCGCTGAGCAGAGAGCCCTATGCGGGGCTCGATCCCAGGACCCTGAGATCATGACCTGAGCCTAAGGCAGAGGCTCAACCCACTGAGCCACCCAGGCACCCCGTTGTCTTTTTTTTTTTTTTAAGATTTTATTTATTTATTTGTCAGAGAGAGAGATAGAGAGTACAAGCAAGCAGAGCGGCAGGCAGAGGCAGAGAGAGAAGCAGGCTCCCCACTGAGCAAGGAGCCCAACATGGGACTCGATCCCAGGACCCTGGGATCAAGACCTGAGCCGAAGGCAGTGGCTTAACCAACTGAGCCACCCAGGCGTCCCCCGTTGTCTTATTTTTAACAAGGAATATGCTGCATATGCTTATCCATTTCTGCTGTTTCTACCTTTGGGGTATTATAAATAATGCTACTATGAACATTTCATGTAACAGTTTTTGTGTGAGCATATGTTTTCACTTCTCTTGAGCATACACCTATGAGTGGAAGTGCTGGGCCGTATGGTAACTCTGTGTTTAATCTTTCTAGGATATGTCAGGCTATCTTCCAAAACAGCTGCACCATTTTCATTCCCACTAACGTGTAAAAAGTTTCCAATTTCTGCATATTCTTGCAGAATTCATATACTTATTTTCTGATTTTTTTTAATAACCACACTAGTGGGTACAAGTAGTATCTCATGTTTTATTTGCATTTGATGAATGATGAGCTCTCTTCATGTCATTTGTGTATTTGAAGAAATATCTATTCAAATCCTTCTTCCATTTTTTTTGTAAGGTTTTATTTATGTATGTATTTATTTGTCAGAGAGAGAGTGTGCACAAGTATGCAGAGCGGCAGGCAGAGGGGGAGAGAGAAGCAGCCTCCCCGCTGAGCGAGTAGCCTGATGTGGGACTCGATCTCAGGACCCTGAGATCATGACCTGAGCCAAAGGCAGCGGCTTAACTGACTAAGCCACCCAAGCATCCCCCTTCACCCATTTTCAACTGGATTATTTTTACTACTGTTTCAAGAGTTATTTATATACTCTGGATTATAAGTCCTTATCAGATACATGATTTGCAAACACTTGATCCTATTCTGTGGGTTGAACTTCACTTTTTTGATGGTGTCCTTTGAAACATAAAAGCTAATTTTGATGAAATCTAATTTCTTTATTTTTTTCTTTTATTGCTTGTGTTTTAGTGTCATATTTAAGAAACAGTACCTCACCTGAGGCTGTGAAGCTTTACCCCTATGTATGCTTCTAAGATTTTAATATTTTCAGTTCTAACATTTAGGTCTTTGATCAATTTTGGATAAATTTTTGTAGATGATATGAGGTAGGCATCCAATTTCATGGTTTTGTGTGTGGATATTCAATTTGTCCCAGTGCTATTGTTTAAAAGACTCTACTTTATCCATTAAATGGTATTGGCATATTAATTGAAGTCAGTTGACGATAGATACCAGGCTTATTTCTGGATTCTCAATCCTATTTTATTGATCTATATGCCTATCCTTATACCAGGACCACACTACCTTGATCAATGTAGCTTTGTAGTAAGTTTTAAATTCAGGAAGTATGAGTTTTCCAAACTTGTTCTTCTTTTCCAAGACTGTTTTGGCTATATTAGGCCCCTAGGTTTCCATATGAATTTATGATTATCTTCTTAGTTGCTGCCAAAAAGGTAGCTGAAATTTTGATAGGAATTGTGTTGAACCTGTAGATCAATTTCAGGACTATTGTCATCTTAACAATATCAAATCTAAAACATGAACATGGGGACGCCTGGGTGGCTCAGTTGGTTAAAGCAGCTGCCTTCGGCTCAGGTCATGATCCCAGCATCCTGGGATCGAGTCCCACATCGGGCTCCTTGCTCGTCAGGGAACCTGCTTCTCCCTCTGCCTCTGCCTGCCATTCTGTCTGCCTGTGCTTGCTCTCTCTCCCTCTCTCTCTCTGACAAATAAATAAATAAAAAAATCTTTAAAATAAATAAATAAAACATGAACATGGAAGGCCCTTTTATTTATTTAAGTCTCCTTTAATTTCTTTCAACAGTGTTTTCCAGTTTTCACTGTATGAATCTTACACTTATTAAATTTATTTCTGAGTATTTTGTTCTTTATGATGCTACTATAAATGAAATTGTTTTCTTCATTTTGCTTATGGATGTTTCATTGCAAGTAGATAAAACAGTCAATAGAGTGTCCATTGCAAAAATTGATCTTTGTATGTTAATAGTGTATCCAGTAACCTTGATAACTCAGTTTTAGTTCTAATAGTTTTTTTGGAGCTGCGTCAGATTTTTCTATATATAAGTTCATGCCATCTGCAGAGAGAAATTGTTTCACTTCTCCCTTTACAGTTTGGAAGCTTTTATTTCATTTACTTACCTACTTCATCTGGCTAGAACCTCCAGTACAGTGTTGAATAGAGATGGTGAGAATGCACATCCTGTATTGTTCCTGTTCTTAGTGGAAAAGCATCCGGTCTTCTCTTATAGTTTAAGATGTTAGCTGTGGGTGTTTTGTAGATATCTTTTACCAGGTTGAAGAAGTAACCTCCCCTTACTGTTTATTAAGCATTTTTATCATGAAAGGGTGTGGGATTGTTTTTGTTGTTGTTGTTTTGTTTTGTTTTTTTCCCTACATCCATTGAGATGATCTTACATTTCTGTCTTGCATTCATTCAATACTATATATATATATATATATATATATATATATATATATATTACATTAATGAATCTTCAGGTGTTAAACCAATCTTGCATTCCTGCAATAATCCCACTGGTGATGGTGTATAATCATTTTTACATGTTGCTGCATTCAGCTTACCTATATTACTACTCTAACCTCTTAACTGGTTTGCCTCCTTTTATCACGTTCCATACAGTCTGTTCTCAGTCCTCTGGCTACAGTGTTGTGATCATGTCATTCATTTCAAAACACTCTATGGACTTCTTTCCCACTTCAGAGTCAAAGCTAAAATCTTACAAGATCTGGTATAAATGAGCCTCCCAATTCTTCTAGAGCACATTTCCTGGCACTCTCTGTCTCATTTACTCTGCTCTTCCTATCCTAGTCTCCTTGATATTTCTCAGAAATCCAAGAAAATTTGCACCTCAGGACATTAGCACTTGTATTCTCTTCCTTGGTTGTTTTTCTCCCATATGGCTTATTTTCTTACTTCCTTCAGGCCCCTGTTCAACTGTTGCCTCACTAGAGAAGCATTTTCTGATCATCTTATAAAATAACAATGCTTTTACCCTCAAGTATGGCCTATTATTTCCTATTCTTTTTTTTTTAAGATTTTATTTATTGATTTGACACAGAGAGAGAGAACACAAGTAGGCAGAGAGAAAGGCGGTGGGCGGGGGGGGGGTAAGCAGGCTTCCTGCTAAGCAGAGAGCACGATGCCGGGCTTGATCCC